GGATAAACCGCATTGTGGGGCAACCAGCAACATCTTCAGTTTAGATAAATAGCATTTAAGCCTAATCAACCGATTGAGGAGTACCTTCAGTTTGGATAAACAGCACTGCTTCGTAACTGACTAGTTATCTATCCAAGTCTTGGTCAGCAAGGAATCTCTGAGTCCTTGTTGGTAAAGGTCATCCCATCAGCCTTCTCGGCGAAATGAAGTGTTACCAAGTCACGACAGTTCGGCACATTGAAAGCCGAACTTGTTTTATGAGTGGATATTCACAAGTGCATTTCAGAGTTCGGCATTCAAACGGCCGAACCATATTTACAATCAAGACACACATCTCTTTTGAGTATTTGTGTCCAGATAGTCTCGTACTGATTCGGCGCTTATATTCTCACGAATATAATTACAGTTGCCGAACCTAGTGCTGACGATTCGTGAACTTCTCAAAACTAGTAGCCTTGTCTTTAGGCTCTAGAACCCGAAGGCCGAGACATGTTCCTTCCTCGGCCGCAATCGCAAGATTTAGAAGCCATCAGCGCACCCAACGCCACATCAACATTCATTCACTCCTCTGCCGAGTTCAACCAACGAGTTGGCACGCCCCGCATTCGACTGAATGACATAGTTAACTTATAGGCTAAATAGTTTTAGGGTCAACATTGTCACACACAATCTAAGTCAAAGAAAAAATAAACAAGAAGAATAACGAATGTTACGCATTGGAAAGGGTTATAAGATAAGATGTTCATGTTCTCATTCCCCATGAGCCGTGCCAAAATAATTTGTTTAATTATATTGCGAAGCAATCTCCAAGTTTTGTAAAAATTAGGACTAGTTGTTGGGTCCATTGTACATCGAACTTCAACAATTTGAAACCATTTACTCATTTGATTGTTATGGTGAAATTTCAATGTATCTTATAATATAATGTTCGTCAATTTCTATGAACTCAATTACATGCCTTAAACTTTTCCGAATTGGTTAATATTTTAAAAGGATGATCTGTAAAGTGCAACTTGAAAAATAGATGATTCGGATCTTAAAGTTCGATGTGGATTGGGCCATACAATTAGTCTCAATTTTTACCAAAAATTGAAAAATCCCTTTGGATAAAGAATCTGATTATATTGTAATCTAATCATGTAACATCATTCATCCAATAATTTATATATATATATTAAAAAATAAAAAAAATAAAAAGGTAAGTTTTTGATATCAAAATGTATTGGAATTCAATTCCAATCCACTTGAGTTCCAAGATAAAATATGCATCTTTTTGGGACGAGTAGATTGGACACCATGATTTGTTTCCACACATACGCATATGTTCTGGGGAATTGGAAATGTATATGGTGATTGTGGAGCACAAACTCAACGACAATTTGATCAAATCTTCAGTTGTCTACAAATAGGTCCCCTCATCCAGTCTGTGGTCCACTCATCTGGAATAAGAGAACAAATTGCTTCGTAGAGATAAGGAGTTATTTTGTTTTGTGGACAAATTATAATTTGACATCGCATGTATGGCTATTTTATTATTATCAATAATTTGCATGCAAATATAAGATATAGCTTACGTCCTCGGAAATTTAGGAATTGATGTGTTTTGTCAGGTCTCTTTTGAGGAATACCATTACTACTGTAGTATTAAGTGGCAATTTGCAAAACTCAACATAAGGAAAGGGATGTGTTTGTTCAAAAAAGAAGGTAAGAACCGAACCTAAGGCCTTTTACTTACCAATGAAAATGAATACCATATTATTGATAGTCCATTGTGAGACTTAACTCATTCATCCATCCCCTTAGTGCAGATAATTTCGTTTGTTAAAAAAAAAATGGCAATACTATCCCTTTCCCTATGTTGAATTTTGCAAGGGCCAAGAAAAATAATAGTACATTTACTAAGATGGGCTTGGCAATGACATGGTTTGTGTGTCAAGTCTGCCTTCTGATGATAAGCCCATTCCACTACGCCCAAAATAGTGTTTATTTGGTTTTGGGCTCAGATACGTAAGGTGGCCACGTCGGCTTAAGAAAATAGGTACTTCTACACTGAGAGCTTAAAAAGGGGAACAAATTGCGGGTACAAAATTTGAACGGATAAAGCCACTTAGTAGTGCGATATAATAATATTAGTCTTTATTTGTAAGTAAGTAGTCTTAGTTTCAATTTTCGTGGATGATGACTAAGGTACCAATTTATTTCTCTGCTCTCTTAATGTAAATATATGTGTACAAAAAATAAAAAATAAACAGGGTTAAAACGATTCAATACAAAAAGTTATAACTCGAAAGTGTATCTTGCCCATATTATCATTTGTATTCAGTCAATATTACACCAATCAATATGTCACCAATACTCGATTGATACATGTCAATAGTTGATCGAAATGCCGTCAGTATATGTTGTTAATATTTGATCCATACGTCGTTTGTTACAATTTAAGAAAAGAAAACTAATAAAAATGGTTTGAAAATTTTGAGTTTTAACGATAAGGACAAAATAAAGAGTAGAGTGAATAGTACTAAAATTGACTTTTTAATGTAAAAAATGTGGTTTTTCGTTAAAGTGAACAATACCAGAAGCTTTTCGTTAAAGCTCCCATTCAAGAATTCAAAATCCTCCTCCTTAGTCACCAGTCTCACCGCCCCTTCCTCCCTCGCCTTCTCCGACAGACTATTGGCATCTGCAAAATCCCAGTCAGTATAACTAGCACAATAGTCCCCGCAACTCTTCATCCTCATATTGGATCTTAGAGCCTCCACTGACTCGACAAGATCATGAGAAGTTTGCGAAGTAGACCGAAAAGAGGTGCTGTAATTCCCGCTTTGGACATTGTTTTGACGAGGAGAAAAAGGTGAAGGTCAAGGCCCGAGAGAGCGTCAGCTCTTTCGGGCAGTATTTTGTGCACCTTCGAACTTGAAAGATTTAACTTTCTTGTTAAGAAAGCAATATCCCTTCACCTAAACTTTGGTATCTCTGGCATAAAGCCATCCCAATTTGTTACTCAGCATAACAGATGCACTGAGAAGAGAACTCCAGTTAATGTACGGCCAAGGATCCCAAAGCTTTTCATCGTCTCCTCTATGGGCAAGCAAACCGTTTTACATGCCGTGGAAGAGTCTTTGTACTGTTCCACTAGATCTTAGCCAAAATACCGAGAAAGGTATGGACTCCAGAAGGTTGAAAAGGTTTTTCGTTTTTTTTCTTGTGTGCCATTCAAAATACATTTTCCACACCCCTCCCGTCATCATTCCTCCGCCCTTCTTCATCTTTCTTTTCTCTAATGTACTTCTCTTTCATCTCTAACAAAACGAGGAAATCTAAAAACGAAATGGTAATAAATCGGTCTCTAAGATAACCTTTAATCATATACCAGTCATTTAAACAACTCGATTAAGATCCACAGAAAAGAATGCAAGAGATATTTAGCCGTGGTTCCATAGAATCCATACAGAGAAATCTAACGTTCATAGTTGCAAGGATAAAAATCTAACTAAGCTCCATAAAAAGACCTCAATCAGCTGTAAGCTCAACGCCTACCATGGCTGGCATTCTTCTTCATTCCAAATGGTGCTTTCATTCTAAAAACTACTCTATTTAAAGTTTCAACATGCTCCTGGAACACAAAGTAGCTCAAAACGCTAGTAAACCAATCAACCAAACCTGGAACTGTACCAACTATTCGGGATCAATCACACAATTCATTCCAAGATGATCAATCACGCAATTCATTCCAAGACGAATCATGCATATCATTCCAAGACAATCAATCCCGATATTCATTTATATGATTAATCACACAATTCGTTCCAAGAGTGATCAAACGCACAATTCATTCCAAGATGATCAATCACGCAATTCATTCCAAGACGAATCATGCATTTCATTCCAAGACAATCAATCCCGCTATTCATTTATATGATTAATCACACAATTCGTTCCAAGAGTGATCAAACGCACAATTCATTCCAAGATGATCAATCACGCAATTCATTCCAAGACGAATCATGCATTTCATTCCAAGACAATCAATCCCGCTATTCATTCTAAAATGATCAATCACACAATTCGTTCCAAGAATGATCAAACGCACAATTCATTCCAAGATGATCAATCACGCAATTCATTCCAAGACGAATCATGCATTTCATTCCAAGACAATCAATCCCGCTATTCATTTATATGATTAATCACACAATTCGTTCCAAGAGTGATCAAACGCACAATTCATTCCAAGATGATCAATCACGCAATTCATTCCAAGACGAATCATGCATTTCATTCCAAGACAATCAATCCCGCTATTCATTCTAAAATGATTAATCACACAATTCGTTCCAAGAGTGATCAAACGCACAATTCATTCCAAGATGATCAATCACGCAATTCATTCCAAGACGAATCATGCATTTCATTCCAAGACAATCAATCCCGCTATTCATTTATATGATTAATCACACAATTCGTTCCAAGAGTGATCAAACGCACAAATTCATTCCAAGATGATCAATCACGCAATTCATTCCAAGACGAATCATGCATTTCATTCCAAGACAATCAATCCCGCTATTCATTCTAAAATGATCAATCACACAATTCGTTCCAAGAATGATCAAACGCACAATTCATTCCAAGATGATCAATCACGCAATTCATTCCAAGACGAATCATGCATTTCATTCCAAGACAATCCCGCTATTCATTCTAAAATGATAATCACACAATTCGTTCAAGAGTGATCAAACGCACAATTCATTCCAAGATGATCAATCACGCAATTCATTCCAAGACGAATCATGCATTTCATTCCAAGACAATCAATCCCGCTATTCATTTATATGATTAATCACACAATTCGTTCCAAGAGTGATCAAACGCACAATTCATTCCAAGATAATCAATCACGCAATTCATTCCAAGATGAATCATGCATTTCATTCCAAGACAATCAATCCCGCTATTCATTCTAAAATGATCAATCACACAATTCGTTCCAAGAATGATCAAACGCACAATTCATTCCAAGATGATCAATAACACAATTCATTCCAAGATACATAAACACTCATTCCATCGAATAAAACACCCACTTAACAATAAAGTTTAAACCGTTGTCTTAATTCATTCAGCAATCCAAAAGCCCCAAACCAAATTCCACATAAAAACATATATACATATACACTGTGAACCGGCAAATTAACATTGCGCTTTAGTAATTAAACCATACCAAAACGGCTAAACCCCGATTCAATCAATAATCGGCATGATAATTGCTGTACTCGTCACGCTCGCGCAGGTCATTCTCCACCCTCTGTGCAACCTTATCTTCCTCGTACCTCAACCCCTCATCCAATGCCACTGCACCAAGACCTCCGGCCACTGCGCCCACAGCCAATCCGGTGCCCAATCCCATCTTCCCACTTTTGGGCTTCTGATTCTGGTCATAATTTGAGTAGTCCAATGGCGCTGAAGGCCCACTAGGCCCGCCATAGTTCACCGGTCGGTCGAAGAACGGCCTTGGTGGATGCGGTGGCGCACTGGAGTAGTACGCTGGATAGTAACCCGAGTACGGATCGGAATAGGAGCTGTAATGGTAAGGCGGAGGCGGAGGCGGTGGCGAAGCCGATGGACTAGGAGCGGAAGCTGGTAAAGTAGAGCTGTACGACGACGGCGAGTATGACCTGAAGTCGCGAACAGGCGGTGGGGGCATAGGGGCACCTCCGTAAAAGTAGCTAGGAGGAGGGCTAATATGGTAATCTGGCGGCAAAGGTCGTTCTCGAACGGCAAGCTTAACACGGATCTTGCCCTGGGGACGGCCGGAGGGACGGACGAGCTGGAAGGTCCGGATTCGGGTCGAGTCGTCCTGATCGGGCAGGTCCTTGAGTGGGACCCGGAGGGTGCCGACTAAGGGCTTGGAAGTTTCGGAGGGTTTGGAGTGGAAGATTTCGAGGGTGAGGAAGGAGTCGTGGAGGGAGAGGGTGAGCGGGACGGTGAACCGCTCGTTCCAGACCGGGCGGGTGGAGCCGGAGTCGTCGGACTTGGTGGCGAGCCGGCGGTCGGGGTCTACCCAGAAGACGGCGTAGGGCTTGAGGTCGCCGTTCTTCCAGTTGACGTTCTTGAGATGCTTGGCGGAGACGATCGTGAGGTCGAGATCGAGCGGCTTCTGCGGCGGAGGGCGGGAGGAAGCCATGGGGTTAAAGCGTCTCTGTTCTAACGTGCGCTAGTGGGGATGGTGCTGAGGGTGCGTTGGATAATGGGTAAGAAGGATTGATGGGATTGTTGCTTTGTTGCGGGGGATGGTGCCAATCGGTATGATGACGATAATATACCTTCCCTTATATATTAAGGTTTTGTTTAGGAACTCGGACGGTACGGACTATTTCAGTCGAATAGGATAATTTGTCATCAGATAGTACTGACTATTTAGTCGAGATTACATACTATTTAATCGAGCATTTAGTGCAATACTGGATTAAAAACTCAATTCATCAAAGATTATCATGTTCATTTACTTCCTCAAAAGGAGATTGAAGAACATTTATGACAATGAGTTTCACAATTTAAAACTAGCAAGAGGGATGGAAAATGAGCTAGCTTGATTTTGATTTCAGCGACCCGACTAATTAATACCGACGATTTGGAGTGTATAAGTTATTCAGCGTACGTCATATAAAATAGGCCGGACCGCATAAATAATCCGATGCTTATTTAATACGGATTGACACCAAACACCGGATAGTATTAAATAGAACTATCTGGTGTGTTATCCGACATGTCAAGCACGCCCTAACTTTCTTAGCAAAAAGTAAATAGTAAAATTACCGATAGTAAACGCGTTTCTCAACTGAAAGAGCAACTCCACCGTGGTGGATTGGTCGGGGGACAGGCCAGAGAAAAGGGCCCGAGGCCATGTGGATTCGCTCCAGCGTGAAGGAGCCCGAGTTGAGGTGGAAGCCCGAGCTCCGGGTTGGTGAAGAATTACCAGCCCGCAAGCCCGAGTGGATTGGCTATCACCCTTCAGCAGGCCCTTTTTTTATTTTTTTCTGTCAGGTGCGTGCACCCCACTCTGGCGTGGGGGCGTGTCGTCCGACATCTTTTCAGAAAAAGCAGCCCACTTTTCAGTCTGAATGTTACGGTTGGGAAGCCATGTGGCTTCCCACGGTCCGTTCGATCTCAATGGTTCTTTAACTTGGACCGTTAAATCTCAACGGTAAAAAAAAAATCTTATTTAATATCAACCATTCGATCCGAGATCAACGGTCGATATTAATATTCTTTATAAATAAATATAAAAAAAAATAGTTTTAAAATTAAGAAAAGTTATTGTTGTAACACGTGGCACAATCTGGAATGTTGGAATTCATTTTTTTTAAATCCAACGGCATAGATTAATTATTTGAATTAAAAAATTGTTAAAAATCTGAAAAATTATCTGAAAATTTTTAATTTTTTTTTACTTTTCTATAAATACCTTCTCATTATTTTGAATTATTTTACAAATAAAATTATTTTGTATTATTTTATAACTTTTCAGATTATGACACGTGACGCAACGAGAACGATTAAAAATCTTATCCGAAATTACAAATAAAATTATTTTGTATTATTTTATAAATAAAAAAATACTAATATTTTATTGCTTATTACCAAGGGGAGGGCTCCCACACTGGAGATGCAAAAGGCAATTACTGTTCATTAAGGGCAGTTACTATTCACTGGGTGGATTGAATAGTGGATTGCCTGGGAGGGAGGGCTCCCACGCTAGACCTGGCATTTTCAACCCGACCTATTAACCCAACCCGACTCGACCCGACCTGACCCGACCCGTTAAAATTAGTTTTCGGGTGAGTGATAAATGGGTCGGGTGGTTAAGGGGTCAACCCGTTAAATAACAAGTTATTTGGGTGAACTCGCGAAACCCGATCATCACCCGTTTCACTCGTTTATTGAGGACTTTTGTGTAATTTCAAATCACCGCCGTGCTCTCCCTCATTAAATCATTGCCATGCTCCGACCTCTACAACTCCACAAGCTTCTCAATCAACCCCTCATGTAGCATCGCGTTAAACGTCAATAGCCTCATTCCGCCCGAAATACCCGATTTTGAACACGCAGACCATCGTCATCACTCACATTTCTAAATCTTTGGAATTCAGGAAGCTTATGAACTTAGGTATTTCTCCGTTGAACTCGATCTCGTCGACGAGCGGCGATTTGATCAGCCTGAAGAGCGCGCAGAGTACCCTGATCAAGTTCGTAGACGCGATTTTTATCAGAGAGCTGATCGTGGGCCGACCCATCAAAACTTGACCCACGAAAACTTCTTTATTGAACTTGATCAGAGCTGCAATGACGAAAGTACAATGTTCTCTAACTCGCTTCGATGACCTAGTCAACTCGCACAGAACTAACTCGAGCGAGGTGACAACTTTGAACTTCAAGATCAAATCTCGCAACTCATGGTTGAACCCCTACGCAACTCGGTCCTTGAATTGAGTCAGTAGCTTGATCAACTCGTCCTCGTTGCAAATTGGGTTCTCTTCCATAGCTCGTGTCAAGCTATCCAAGCATTCGCGGTCGATCCAAGCTTGAATTTCGGATTCGATAGACCGGCCGAGTTTGGAGAGGCAGTGAGTCGAGCAGCAGCGAGTAAGGAATGAGTGGATGTAGAGAGGGCATTAATGGCGGAGGATAAGTTCGAGTGGGTGAAACGGGTGACCCGTTAGCTTAACGGGTCGGGTTCGGGTGACCCGTTAACTTAACAGGTCGGATTGAACCCAACCCAAACCCAGTAAACCCAACCCGTTTATAGGTATATCCCACGCTAAAACTGCTCTAAAAGAGTCCTTGAAGATTAGGGATTAAGAACATTTCTGTTTGTAATAGTTATTATTTTTTTTTAACAAACGATATTATATATTATCTACATTAAGAGGAGAGGGTGAGCTTAGCCTAGCTAACAATAATGTGGTTCAAAATTGTTTTTTGCGAGAATCAAACCTAAAATCTCTCACTTACAAGTGAAAATGAATACCATTAGACCGTCATACTAAATGACAATAGTTTTTTTTTTTTTAAATGAGGACAACTGATGACAAGTCACGGTTCTCTACCATTAAGCATCACATAAAATTCAATATAAATTGTACTCATTGGGTAACAAGCAATTACATAATTTTAATTACTTGACTGGAGAAAATAAAATTTAGCATTTTTTTGTTTGTTGATAGATGCATGAATATTTTGTGTGGAACCTGTTGATGCACAAAACCGGAGGTCTTGGTACATGTAAATCCGACCGTGAATCTGCAAGAAATGTAAATAATACAAGATGTATCGTGGTTCACCCCAAGGTTTGGGCTACGTCCACATTGATTGTATTTCTCTGACTATATGTATGGATTACAAGGGTGAGGGGGAGTCCCCCAGAGAAAGAGAGAATTTGGGAGAGTTTGTGAGGGTATTGCCTTTTGTTGGGTTCACTGAGTCCTCCTTATGAGGGGGATGAGTCCCCTTTTATAGAATAAGGGGCTCCTCCTTTTACATAATTATGGGCTGGGTGATGAGGCCCAAATGTTGAGCCCAAATATGTATGGTACCAACAATAATCCCCAAAGTCTTCAGTCAATAGAGTCTTTTGGCTGGAAACTTCAAATCCAATCCATGTACGCGCTGAAGTGGTTAGATGTCTTGAACCAGTACTCAACCCAAGACAATGCTCAACATAAAGCAATACTCGGCTAGAGGTATCACACGTTACGAGACTGCTCGGCTGGAGGCGATGCTCGTTGCGAGGCTATGCTCACGGCGAGGTGTTTGCTCAGCTGAAGGCAATACTCGTTGCGAGGCGGCTCGGCTAGAGGCTATGATCACTATAAGGTGGCTCGGCTCGTGGTATTCCTCATTGCAAGTATTTACTTTACGTCGACATGCACTCAGTATGAGTTGATTCTCAACATGACTCAGGTCCGCTTGTCGGGTTCGCATTTTGGGTCTCTGTATCAGATCCTCGTATCGGGTCTGCAAGTCGGGTCCTTGAGTCGGGGCCATACGTAGGGTCATCGAGTTGGGGCTATCTGTAGGGTCATCAAGTTGGATCCAGACATATAGGTGTCCCAATAAGCGAATGTCCGAGCAAGTGGGTTTCCGGTAAGACAAGAGATCACCATGAGCATGTGGCTCATCAGTTTATAAGTTAATAGGCTTCTTTAATCAGTAACAATGTTGATCAGTGGATCTAGTTGCTCAATAATTCTTGACAATAAATGATAGTATAAGTACAACCGTATGATGAATAAATCAAATTGATAAAGTTTTTCAAGACAAAATATTGTACTATATGCCTTCTATAAATAAATAATTTATTCTGTTGTGTGATAAATGACATGTTACATAAATCAACAATATATATTAGGTATTGCCTAAATATGTAAGTTATTAGAATATATATATATAATCCACATTGAGATACTCTTGCTTTGATGTGGCTTGTTTGCAGAGGTATTATCAGGGGAAAAGAAGCTGAGTATTTCGAGAGACTTTGTGGGAGTGCCTTCTCGGATGTGAAGAAAAGTTGAGCATTTTTTTTTATTTGCAAGTCTGTCTGGCTGTGGAGGATGAAGGTCGACATATATAGGAATTGTCCCAACAGCGAGTGGTAACGTTGTTCATTTACCATTCTCGATCATAGCAATGTAGTGGGAGCTGCAAGATTCACGTGTTTAAATTTGTCAAAGCACTTTAAAAAAGTGGTATGTAGTATCTGGAAAGCTGATATTGCGTGTGAAGATTGCAGACAAGTTTTATCTAAGGAAATCTAGCTCTCGAAGTTCGAAGAGCGGTGCCTCTTCGGTTTTCGAACAAGCAATCCTGTCGGGGATCTGACTTTCGAGATTCGGAGAACGGTGCTTCTTCGATTTTTAAGACAACAATCCTATTGGGAGTCTGGCTCTTGAGATTCGGAGAGCGGTGCCTCTTCAAATTTTTAGCAAGTAATCCTGTTGGGAGTCTGGCTCTCGAGATTCAGAGAGATGTGCCTTTTCAATTTTTGAGCAAGTAATCTTGTTGGGAGTCTGGCTCTCGAGATTCGGAGGGTGGTGCTTCTTCGATTTTTGAGCAAGCAATCTTGTTAGGAATGTTTTCTCGAATGTGAGTAAAGGTTGGGCATTTTTGCCAATCTGCCTTGCCACAGAGCACAGAGGTTGACACACACAGGGACTTTCTAGTTATCAAGCAATTGTGCTGTTCTTTTATCCTTGTGGGCAATAGTATGGTTGCTTGCTCAAAAATCAAAGAGGCACCGCTCTTCGAATCTCGAGAGCCAGACACCCAACAGGATTACTTGCTTAAAAATCGAAAAGGCACCGCCCTCCGAATCTCAAGAGTCAGACTCCCAACAGGATTGCTTTCTCAAAAATCGAAGAGGCACCGTTCTCCGAATCTCGAGAGCCAGATCCCCGACAAGATTGCTTGTTCCAAAACCGAAGAGGCATCGCTCTCCGAACTTCGAGAGCCAGATTTCCTTGGATAAAGCTTGTATGCAATCTTCACACGCAACATCAGCTTTCCAGATACCACATACCATTTTTTCAAAGTGCTCTGACAAAGTTAAAACATGTGAAGCTTGCAGCTCCCACTACATTGCTACGACCAAGAAGGGTAAAGGAATAACATTACTACTTGTTGTTAGGGAGACTCCTATATATGTCGACCTCCATTCTCCACGGACAGGCATACTTGCAAAGATGCTCAACCCTTCCTCATATCTGAGAGGGCATTCCTAACGAAGCCTCTCGAAATACTCAGCTTTCTTCCCCCCAATAATACCTATGCAAACTAGCCACACCAGAGTAATAGTATCTCATATCATCAGGGTCAAAAGCAAGAGTATCTCATATCATGCTTTTTCCTTGTCTTTTCCTTTGCCCTTGTTCTTACCTGCAAGACAATGAGAAAGAGAGCAATCAGTCAGCACTTGGAATCAAGCTTCTAGTTAGAAACTGACTGCCTGAAACCTCTTACCTGATTATTTACCCGGCATTGCTCTCGAGTACTAATCTTCAACATCTTATGCTTCCAGAAAAGATACCACATCTGCCTGAGGAACATATAGGGCAAGTGAGAAGGATACAAGGAAGCATGTGGAGACAAGCGCAACAAAACACGTGCCGATTCATCTATCACTTCGTCAATAGCAAAAGTATCTCATATCATCAAGGTCGAATGCACTCTTGATTTGATGGACTTGTTTTGACTCTCAAATTCTTGAGTCGGCCTTATACTCTGGAGGAAACCAGAAAACCCTCCAGCCTAGTTCAAGAATAAACCTGTGGAAAGTTACTTCTTCAAAAGCAAAAGTATCTCATATCATCTCTTCTCCATTTGCTTCTCTTTATCCTTGTTGCTGTTTATGACACAAGGAGAAGGAGAACAATTAACCGGAAGTCGAAGTCGAACCTCTGATCTAGGTTGCTTGCTTGGAAGTTTGATTGCTTACCTTATCTGTTACCACTTTCGGTAAATCTTCTAGCTCGGTGACTTGGGGGACTTCTACTATAGGGTTTTGTATCGCACTTGACAAAGCTCGAAACTACAAGTAAGCTTCAAGTGAAATTGATACATTACCTTGTGCATCTTCATCGGTTAAAGATACCACCCCCGGATAGAGGAAAAGTACTTCCATAGAAGATGCCACATCTACGTATGAGACAGATAAGGCAAGTGAAAATGATACCACACTTCGGTACTTAGAAGTTTCATGATTACTCAATGGCTTAGATCTTGCAAGTCCCCAACCGAGGAGATTCCCTCAGTGGGAACTTAGGGGAGCACTGTTTGTACCATACTTGACCAATCCCGAAACTATTGAGCACTGGTCAACGTTATATCGTCAAGGACCCAGAAGAGTTTCCTTCCAACCAGGAGGCCAATCACAGCGCGACACGTGTCGTGACTTGGGAACCTCCGATCCAGGTTGCTTGCTTGGAAGTTTGATTGCTTACCTTATCTATTACCTCTTTCGGTAAATGTCCTAACTCGGTGACTTGGGGGACTCATACTATAGGGTTTATTTCTCACTTGACCAAGCCCAAAACTACAAGTAAGCTTCAAGTGAAATTGATACATTACCTTGTGCATCTTCATCGGTTAAAGATACCACCCCTGGATGGAGGAAAAGTACTTCCAGAGAAGATGTCATATCTACATATGAGACAGATAAGACAAGTGAAAATGATACCACACTTCGGTACTTAGAAGTTTCGTGATTACTCAATGGCTTGGATCTTGCAAGTCCCCAACCGAGGAGCTTCCCTCACTCGGGAACTTAAGGGAGCACTGTTTGTACCATACTTGACCAATCCCGAAACTACTGAGCACCGGTCAACGTTATACCGTCAAGGACCCAGAAGAGTTTCCTTCGAACCAGAAGGCCAATCATAACGCGATACGTGTCGACATCAGAAGCCAATCATAGAGTGACACATGTCAACATCAAAAGCCAATCACAACACGACACGTGTTAATGTCAGAATGAAATTAGAAACTCTCTTCTATAAATAGAGATCATGCTCTCACAATATTTACTAATGTCATTTGTACTAAATCATTCACTAGTACTCACAAAAGGAAAGCTTGAACCTATGTACTTGTGTAAACCCTTCACAATTAATGAGAACTCCTCTACTCCGTGGATGTAGCCAATCTGGGTGAACCACGTACATCTTGTGTTTGCTTCCCTGTCTCTATCCATTTACATACTTATCCACACTAGTGACCGGAGCAATCTAGCGAAAATCACAAACTTAACACTTTCTGTTGTACTAAAATCCTCGCTGATTTTGTGCATCAACCGAATTTGTTTGGAAAATTTATTACGTCATTACTATACATGATGGCACTCTCCATATATGCTGCCCAAATATTACTTTAACCTAAACATTTTCATATAAATTTCAGTATAAATGGTACGTAATTACTAGGTGACAACAAATTAGGTATTGGGAATTGGTTACTTAAAAAGTCACAATGCATGAACATTTCATATTGAAACTTCTTTGGAATTCGATCAAAAAAGAAACTTCTTTGGAAAATTGATTAAACATTACTATAACAATATAACTTAGATAAACGGTTATCTATAATCATGAAACGTCAAATTTATTTGAGTGAGTAACCGCAAATATTCATAATCGTGAATATTAACATGTCTTTTGTTGTCTACTAGTTATTTCATATTCAACTTTATTTGGAAAAAATATTAAGCTATAATCATTACATGTCAAATTTATACGATAAACAAACGTGGATATTCATAATTGCAACTATTTTGCATCTCATGTGTCGTCTACTAATTATTTCTAATTCTTGTGTGTTTCTTTTCGAGTGAGTAGATGCATCTTAATTCTGTTTTTAGATCTTTAGAATCTATCCAATCATAGGAGATTGAAAATTCCAGATTTAATTTGCTTGTTCAAAGTAATTAAGCATCATGTGCATATAATTTTAGTTTTTTTTTTTTTTTTTTTTGTATCAAGAAGTCCAAAATTGCAATTAAGATAAAATAAAAGGGAAACTAATGAAAATGACTTGACTTTTAGTGAAAATAATAAAATAAATGGTAAAATAAATAGTACCATGATTGACTTTTTAGTGTAAAAATATGGTTTTTCATTAAAGTGAACAGTACCAGAAACTTTTCGTTAAAGTTCCCGAAATTGTATGAGTACGTCTAGACAAGTAAGTCACCCTCATCGGATTTAATGGGGAATTATCTAACTAATTAGATTACTCATCCAAGCTTATATATTGACCAAGTTTCATTGACCTAAACAAAAAAAAAAGTGTCCTTCAGCCTTCAGTACATGTCCTTCGCTCTTTACCAGTCCAAACTTGCCTTCTTTTTCTGGTTCATCTTTGGTAACGGGATTCTAGTCCTGCTCACACTGGATATCCCATTGGAGGTTCCTAGCTCAGACTCGTCTTTCCTCATGATCTTCACGTGTAGAGATCCCCATTCTAAAAGACTGATGTTGAGCTGGAAATTCACTTGTAGATTCCATTTAGGGTTTGGCAACCATAGACAAAATTCAACTCGTACTCTTTGCTAGGTTCCACCCGTAAGACAAGTTGATAGACCCTATTAGTACAACATATTGTACTATAATTAGGGCCATCGAGACCTTTGGCATGGTAGATGTCAACACTCAGGACGACTTTTTGGTCCAAGTATGAGTATTTTTCTTGTTCATCATCCTTGTTTGTCATCCTTTTCTTCTTCAGAGCTCTGTTGTAGTTATGTATATCATTGTTCATCCTCCTTGCCATAGTCAAGCTGTATAGAAAAATTAAAGACCTAATACAAGGCATAGAACAAAAATGACAGAGAAAAACCAAGCAAAAAGAAAGCTAGACCCTTATCTGCAAAATAATAAAATTACTTGAACGTATTTGGTACTACACGCCGAAGAAAAATTAAAATAAATAAATTAAATACAAAATAAATTAACTTATGAACAAAGAAAAATCACAAGAATCAGGGATATAAAGCAACATAAAAAAAATCAAATTAATTTACAAATTGAATGATGGAGGCCTTTTCTGTACAAGACTTCTTGTGTAGGTACATCGTAGTACATAATTAATGTTGGCTGCTCAGATTTTTATGAAGTTTTATAAACTCTTTTAAAATCTTGATTGAATACCTATGTTCTTCTATGAATTCATTTAAGATCTTGATTAAATACATATGGATTTGTAAACTCTTTAACAATTATTTTCGCTTAATTGAATACACCCTCCTAAAACAAAACACGAAATACAAATTTCAATGGACTTACCAAAAAGAGATGGGACTGGATATAATAGTGTATCCATGTTTCTCCACACAATGTTCGGCGAAGATAAATAGGTGTTTTGTAACTAAGATAAGATTTGACAGTCTTTAAAATAATAATTCTTAAAATGACAGTTACAACTTTTTTCCAAGTATTTTCTTTTAAATAAGCTTCTTAAAAAAAACTTGGTTTCCGTCATTGGATCAAATACAAACGGCCAAGATATGCGAAAACATGTTAGTGCGTGTATTGATAAACATATCCTCGTCAGTTTTAAACCTTAATAGAAAAGAAATTGACAAATAAGACAACAAATTCATCATGTCATTTTGTGCCGGTTAATAATTGTTTAACTGTGCTCTCAAATTCATAAGTTAATTAGATTACAACGGTGCCGATGATGAATTATCTTAATGGATATGGCAACAACTTACAATGTTACCTTTAAAACTACGTGTCGGTATGAGTCGTACTCTTCTTCTTCTTCTTCTGCAGATTTCCTCTTTAGGGCTTGCCGGTATGAGTCGTGCTCTTCTTCTTCTTCTTCTGCAGATTTCATCCTTGTCGCAGCCAAACTGTATGAAAAAATAAAAATAAAAAGAGTTTGTGCATGAGTCGAAGATGAAAGTTGATGCATGTATATATAGGAAATAGTGGCGTCTAGGTCTGGCATGCGGGCTATGGCCGCACCTTAAAGCATTGCCAACGACCACCTCATACATGGCAATCTTTGATTGGTCAACTATGTCACACTCACAAACTAGGAAAAATACGTGGCAATAAGAATGTTTTACCTAACATTTTCCATATATAAAATCGAATATAAATTGTACTTATTGGGTAATTGACAAGCAATTAGGTAATTACATGACTGGATAAACTAAAATGCATGGATATTTTTGTTTGTTGGATGATGCATGAATATTTTATCTGAAACTTGTTTGGAAAATTTGTTACGTCATTAATTACTATATATGATGGCATTCTCCATATATGCTGCCCAAATATTAATTTTACCTAAACATTTCCATATAAATTTCAAGTATAAATGGTACGTAATTACATTAAAATTTTCGTATCCAAACTTCTTTGGAAAAAAATATTAAGCTATTACTATGACAATATAATTTAGATAAAGATTATCTATAATCATTACATGTCAAATTATTTGGGTGCATGAATAATCGCAAATATTCATAATCGCAATTATTTTGCATGCCCTTTGTCGTCTACTAGTTATTTCTAATTCTTGTGTTTTCTTTTTAAGTGGGTTTGCATTTCCGATGTGTATACGATCTTTATTATGTTTTTAGATCTTTAGATAGAATAGGAAGTTGAAAATTCCAGATTTAATTTGCTTTTTCAAAGTAATTAAGCATCATATGCATATAATTTTGGTTTTTTTTTTTTTTTTTTTTTTTTTGTATCAATAAGTCCAAAACTGGAATTAGGATAAAATAAATTGTACGAGTACATCTAGATAAGGAAGTCACCTTCATCAAATTTCATGAGGAACTATCTAACTAACTAGGTTACTCATCTAAGCTTATATATTGACCAAGTTTCATCGACAAAAAAATGTGTCCTTCGGCTTTCAATACATGCCCTTCGCTTTTTGTCAATCCAAACTTGCCTTCCTTTTTCTGGTTGATCTTCGGCAATGGGATTCTAGTCCTACTCACACCGGATATCCCATTGGAGGTCCCTGGCTCGGAGTCATCTTTCTTCAAGATCTCCACGTGTAGAGATCCCCATTCCAAAAGACTGGCGCTGAGCTGGAAATTCACTTGTCGATTCCATTTAGGGTTTGGCGACCCGTAGACAAATTTTGACTCGTACTCTTTGCCAGGTTCAACCCATAATACAAATTGATAAACCCTATTAGTACAACATATTGTACTATAATTAGGGCCGTCGAGGCCTTCGGCATGGTAGATGTCAACACTCAGGACGACTTTTTGGTCCAAGCATGAGTATTTTTCTTGTCCATCATCGATGTTTGTCATCCTTTTCTTCTTCAGAGCTCTGTTGTAGTTATCTATATCATTGTTCATCATCCTTGCCATGGTCAAGCTGTATAGAAAAATTAAAGACCTAATACAAGGCATAGAACAAAAATGACAGAGAAAAACCAAGCTGAAAATAAAATTAAATTAGACCCTTGTCTGCAAATAAATAAATTAAATTATTAGAACGTATTTTGTACTACACGCCAAAAAATTTATATATATATATAAATACACAATAAATTAACTTATCAAGATTGATATCATGTTCTACCAGTCACAAATTCTACTGCTATGTGAATGTGAGAGTATAAGGGATACAAATCAAATGTGAAAAACAAAAATCACAAGAATTAGAGATACAAAGCAACATATAAAAAAATCAAATTAAGTTACAAAAAAATTGACGGAGGCCTTTTCTATGCAAGGCTTATATCGCAGTACATAATCAGACTAATCAGTGTCAGCCACTCAGATTTTTATGAAGTTTTATAAACTCTTTGAAGATCTTGCTTGAATACGCATGAACTTCTATGAATTCATTTAAGATCTTGATTGAATACGTATCTACTTGCAAAATCTTTTACAATAATTTAAATTCTTAATTGAATACACCCTCCTAAAACGAAACATGATATTCAGATTTCAATTGACTTACCAGAAAGAGATGGCGATTGGGACTGGGTATTATAATTTTTGTTTTTCCGCACAACGATTGACAATTCTCACCCTGTTCGGCTAAGATAAATAGGGGCTTTGTAGGCGAGATAAGATTTGACGGTCTTTAAAACATTCTTAAAATGACAATTACAACTTTTTTCCAAGTATTTTCTTTTAAATAAGTTTCTTAAAAAAAATAATTATCGGTTTCCGTCCGTGGATCATATACGTACAATCAAGATATGCGGATACGTGTTAGTGCATGCATTGATAAACATGTCCCTTGTCAATTTTAAACCTTATTAAAAAAGAAATTGATGAATAAGACGACAAATTTAGCATGCCATTCAGTGCCAATTAATAATTGTTTGACCGTGCCCTCATAATTCATTAATTAAGGACAGAGATACCAAAGAACTGGAAAGGTAATGGGCCCTGGGCCTCATGCCCTCATCCAGTACATCGGTTACTTAGCTTACAATGGTGCTAGTGATGAATTATCTTAGGCCTTGTTTGGTGGACAAGATGTGATGAGTTATTTTCAATTAAATTGGACTTGTAAACCAGCCAATGTTTGGTGAGAAAAATTGTATCCTAAACTGGATTGGCTACAAATCCGAAATAAGAGAAAATGCGATAGGTTATGTAATCCAACCACACACATGGGTTATGTAACCCATCTTTGCCAATCAAAATCTCATCCTTAAGACTCAATCTCCTCCAGTGTTACCTTAAAGATTCATAAAACTTAACACTTGGTACTTATCAGTGTGTAATTTAGTGACAATGACAAACATGACCATATGACATTTTGTAGCAACATTAACAAGTATTTTAGTCCAACATGCTGCTTAAGCTTTTGGCTGCTGGATTTGGCATCTTGTTTGGACGTCATTTGGCAGTTGTTTATTGCACTAATAATCATAAGTCGTTTATAAATGAGGATTTGGATCCCCTCCTGAGCAAAGGAGACAGAGCCTCCTGACCTAAATACACGGGTTGTTGGATTTTGATCTAACGACTACAATTATTATAACTTTCAGAGGGCCCCCTGTTTGTAGTCATTGGATCAAAATCCAACGGCCCGTGTATTTGTTGCGAGTTATATATTAGTTAGAGTGTAAATAGTAGTTTATTGTCCCACATTGGTGAAATACATATGTAATACCAATTGTTACTCCTATATATACTCCACTTTGGAGATTAATGAATATATAAGAAATTCCCAAATATTGTCATATATATTTTTGGTATTTACCATGTTTAGTTTAATATTGGTATTTACCATGTTTAGTTCAATATGGCATCAGAGAAGTTCGCTCTTGGTGACCTGTGTGCTTTAATTTTGTGCCCACATTTTTCGTGATTTCCTTCGTATAAAAAAATAAAAAATAAAAAAAAATAAAAAGTGAATAGTGGCGCTACAATACAGTGCGTGAACAATGGTCTGCTTTGTGAACAGTGGTCCTCTACAGTGCTGTAAAAACAGTGCTCTGTTACAGTGCCATGAACAGTGCTCTGCTACAGTATCTGGTAAATTGTTTTCATTCCACTACGTATCTTTTGTGCCTTTATTGTTCGTGATTTTTGTTCAATGGTTCAATATAATCATAGTGTTATTATGCATCTTGGTGGAACAAATAAATGGATAATAGATACTTGGGCCACTGATCATGTGACTAGTGACCCTATAGTGTTTGATGAGTTATGTGACTATGTTCGTGATCCGTATGTTACTAATGCAAATGGAGCACATTCCCCTGTGAAGGGTGAAGGCACTATCTCTCTGACTCCAACCTTATCATTGGTCTGTGCTTTACTTGTTCCTGATCTTAAGTGCAATCTTTTGTCGGTAGGAAAACTTCTTGATACCTTATATTGTTCTGCTCACTTCTACCCTACGTATTGTTATTTTCAAGATATTCAAACTCAGAAGATATTGGTCATGGTAAAAGAATACGGGGTTTGTACATCTTGACTATGGAGGATACTGTTGTTTCTGGTTCAAATAATCATCAAGTTTTAAGTGCTAAAGTGGATGACAGACATCAAATTTGGTTGTGGCATCGACGATTGGGACATCCATCATTCAGTTATATGAAACATCTATTTCCTTCTTTGTTTCGCACTTGTAGTGATTCAGAGTTCAAGTGTGAAACATGTGTCATGGCTAAGAGTCATCGTGCTTCATTTTCTGTAAGTGATTCTAAAGCTACTTTGCCATTTGATTTGATACATTCTGATGTGTGGGGTCCAACGAAAGTTACTTCTAATGGATTCTGTTGGTTTGTTACTTTTATTGATGATTGTACTCGGTTAACTTGGGTGTTCTTGATGAAGAATAAGAGTGATGTTCCGTTACTTCTTCAAGAATTTTGTACAATGGTGTCTACTCAATTTCAGACCAAAGTCAAGGTCTTCAGGTCTGATAATGGGGGAGAATATGTGAATCACACTTTGACATGTTTTTTTCGTGATCATGGTATTATTCGCCAGACGACTACTCCGTTTACACCCCAACAAAATGGTGTGTCCGAACGGAAGAATCGTCAAATAATGGAAGTTGTTCGCTCATTGATGTTGGATAAATGTGTTCCTAATCATTTTTGGGGTCATGCTGTTTTGGCTATTGTGTATTTGATCAATCGTGTTCCAAGTAGGGTTCTTGATTTTCAGACATCGTTCGATATGCTACAACAACATGTTTCTCTTGTTTCTGTATCAAAGCTTCCTCTGAAAGTGTTTGGGTGTATTGCGTATGTGTATGTCTACTCTCATCAGCGGAGTAAACTTGATGCATGTGCTCTCCAGTGTGTCTTTATTGGGTATGCTAACAATCAGAAAGGCTATAAGTGTTATCATCTTTCGACTCAAAAAACTTATATTACCATGGATGTCACCTTCCATGAGGAAGTTT